TCCATTTATCTTTGCCTCCCATGATCTTACTATAGATTTGAGATCAAAGACCACTTGGTCTAATACTCCCTGTAAATTGGGGGGATGGAGGGAGTTAAATCCACGGACACGTGGGCTAAACCCTACGTGAGAATTCATGGCATTGCCATCCTACATTTCCCAGACTAGAAGTATCGGAATAGCCCTTCGTGAGTTTCTTATCCTCCTGAATTCTCTCAATTTTCCTTGAAGTGTTCCTCTAGTAAATCGTGTTTCCCCTTTCCACCTCCTCCATGCCTGCTTTCAGGCCCGCATCACTTACTGTTTCTTTCTAAATCTGCAAGCATAACAGCTCTGCAGCCTAGCCTGACACATTTTGCCCTGTATCATTCTAAAAACAAACTGATCATGTAGTTCTCCTGCTTAAAACCATCTACTGGCTCCCTGGGATTCAAATTCAGCTCACTCTACAACCACTTCAAACTCCCCTAAGCTAATCTCAATGACCCTTCCAGTCACATCTCCCCTCACCCCTGCCCCCATGTTCTCTTCACTGCAGCCACAATCAACTTTCCTAACAATGCCCTCTCGACTCTTTCCCCCCTGCACAAGTTTGTCTCCTCTGCCTAGGAATGTCCTTTGCCCTCATCTCCTCTACTCACCCCCCCCCACCCTATATACCCTGCCTGAAAACTCCTATAAATGCTTCAAAACTCAGCTCCTTTAGCATTCCTCTGATTCCTATACACCATGATGGCTGCCCCCTCCTCCACGCTAGGTATGTGGCAGGCTGTTCACACCAGCACTTTTATACTATACCATAAATACCAACTGAGATGTCTATCTCCCCTTCTAAACTGTAAGTTCCTTGTTTTATTCATTTTTTAGGACAGTTTCATTGAGATATAATTTACATATCATAAAGCTCACAGCACCACCATTTTTCTTGAGGAATCAAACTTGCGACACTCATTCCTTCATTCAACAGAGTCTCTGGTGTGCACAACCGCGCAAAAGATATGGTTCTAACGGCTAAGGTTATATCAGTGAACAAAACTGACAAAATAAAAATACCTACTCTTGCGCAGCTTACGTTCTAGGGGTTCAAGCCCAGGTGTTTCAGGCAGAGATGACGCTGCCCCTTAATTTATGGAAGACATGGCCCAGGCCCAGCCAGTCAGTAGCAAATCCCCATGGCTATCGTGACCGGCTCAAGGAAAAGCATGCGACCCACACCAAGCCAGTCCTAAGACTGTTGCCGGAATGATCCGAAAAGGGGTGCTCTCTTTTCTCTTTTTCTTGAACTAGAAGATATAAGCCTAGAACTCTGAAGGGTCACCGACAAGAGGCAACCTGAGTTAGCATGGACCTATGAGCAAGTCGATCCATGAGACAGAGAGAGAGGAGGAAGCTCTAATGACGTTGTTGGAACCCCTAAAACAAGCCAAACCTAAAATATGATAGCCCTAGACTTCTTGGGTATTAAAGTCAATTGATTTTTTGTATATGCTTAAGAGTTTTCTCCTTTTAGCAACTGAAAAAAAAAAGGCTTTGTTAATAAATTGAATATTTTTTATGAGTCCTAAACAGAATGAAGTAAGCCAGGGTTCCTTAAATTCCATGGCTAACAAAGCTTTCCAGAAACTCAGAGTCACAAAGATCCCAGCACAGAGATGTGACCCCATAATTCAGATGACATCCTAATATAAACCTATGCTGGAACCTGTAGTTAAACCTGCCCCCTTGGTTTCTCTTTTCTGAGATCTCTAGGCATCTGTCCAAGAAAAATTTTTGTCAGGAGCGACAGGAAACTCTTCTCTCCATACCCCGCGGCTCTCCGTGTGCTCCCACGACACGCTGATAAAATTGGAAATTGACAAATGGCCCAGGGAAGCTGCACGTTTGCCCTGCTCATCAGGGAAACTTCACAGTTTCTTCACTTTCATTTTTCTGCTGCACAGTTTTATGTCCACTGAGGAGTTAACAGCCAAACTTCTACCCTGAGGAATGTTGCCTTTTGAACTAGACCTCAAAGTATTAAGGAAATGAAATAACTCAGATTTTTTTTTTTTCTTTTAGGAAGGAGAGGCAAAATAAGGCTGGTTTCCTGAAATTACTCTTGAAAATAAACTCTCAATGTGGCGAAAATGATAAGAACTTCTCTGAACAAAAGAGGCAAAGGTTATAGGTCACTGAGGGAGAGAGATCACAGGATTACAACCTTGGAAGTTTCTTTTTTTTATTTTTTAAAATTTATTTAGTTATTTTAGAGAGAGAGAAAGAGCACGCTTGCATGTAAGCAGGGGGTAGGGGCAGAGGGAGAGAGGGAGAAAGAATCCTCAAACAGACTCCCTGCTGAGCGCAGAGCCTGCTGTGGGGCTCGATCCCAGGACCCTAAGATCATGACCTCCTCAGATCATGACCTGAGCCGAAACCAAGAATCAGACACTCATCCAACTGAGCCACCCAGGCGTCCCTAACCTTAGAAGTTTCTAAAGCCAGAGGAGGGCGGCTTCACATAGCTGATTCACAGGGCAACTTCCCCAGGCTTTAGGGGAAGAGGGTGATTTCAACAGCTAGGTCTCACCCACCTAAGGGTTTCCCATGCCCACTCAACTTAATTGCCTGAGGACAGGCTTTGTTAAACATCCCAAGGGGAGCTGCGGAGACTCAAGAGAGATGTACCAGATACTTTTCTTCAAGAAACTCAGAGTGAGCAATGAGAAGAAACAGTTATTAAACAAACTCACCATGGCTCAAGTAGGCAGAGAGTCTTATGAGAAAAAGGCATTTGGGATGGGGAAAGAGGTTTAGGGAAGGCATCCCTGAAAAAGCACAGCTGAGCTGGGTCTTGAAGGGTAGGTAGGAGTCCACCGGTGGCCCAGGATGAGAAAGGCATGCCAGATGAGGGAACCTGGCATTCCAAAATCAACCCTGGCAAATCTGAAGATTAGCTGTTTTGGAAACCCAAGTCAGAATTTGTATATTCAAATAAGAATGAAGACCTTCAAAGCAGTCACCTTGGGACAGTATATGCTTATCCCAAGGATATTTTCTCTGCTCAATTTCTAAGCCATTTACATCGTTTAGAAGAGGTTTAACATCTTCGGAAGATTAATGTATGTTTTAAATACAGCTCTAGATTTTTATGACCAAGTCTGATGAATAGGGTCAATGATCAAGCTTGAGAATACTGGTTTAGGTGAGAAAAAGCAGGTGAGCGATCAAGTAATGACACAGGTTTTCCTGAGTAACTGACAAGCTGGGCCTCAAGTCAATTCCAACAGGGAATATAAAACAATGGCAAAATCCTTGAAACAGGGAACTATTAGACTATGTCACAGGCTAAGAACTGCTTGGAAGGGACTTGTGAGTTGAATCTTGAACGTTCAAGAGGAATCTTCCAGGCAAATAACGGTGTATGTTCCGGGGTATGTTTGTTTTTTAAAAGGCTCCCTCTAGTCACAGCTCCCAGGAGTCGGGAAATGGGACGGAAGGCTACCTGATCTCAGTTATCAGTCCAGACTTTCCTGCACTAGCCGCCACCTGAATTTTCAAGTAAAAAACGATTGGACTATACACTCCACTGAAATAATACTGCTTTCCTTGTAAAATGTGTCGCATCCTATACCAATACACGATAGTAGTAGCTGTCATTGAAAAACCCTGCTGGGTAACAGTGTCATCATCTCTTATATAACTACCAGTGAATAAAAGCAACTTGAGTACTATTAGGAAGAAGGAATACATTAGCACAATAAAATATAAGTGACAGTAAGAAATTCCTAGAAGTTACTTGATTTAGAGGAAAACACATTTTATATACTTGCCAGCTTTGTTCTTAAGTTTCTATACAGAGCCTATCTTGCCATGTAATAAAAATTTTTAAATGCTAAAGAATTCCTAAAAGGAATCATTCTCAACAATTTAAACGGAGTTTTTTAAAAGGACACGTGTATTTGCCTTGATTTACCAAAATTAATAAGCCTTTTCAAATATGTATTTACAAAGAAAATCTATTCCCTGCCCCTAAATTATCACAGTGTGATTGGATGGCCTCTAAGAATCGGCTCTAAGTTCCTAATTTTCCTGTGTGAATTTAGGCTTGTCACATTGTTTTTGGCTGTTTTGAATAAAAAAGGTATTACCTGTGGTTCATATATCTCTACTGAGCTTAGTATTTATTCTATTATGTTTTATTTAGTTTTCTGTTGAAACAGAACATGCAGTATTATATAAAGGAGAAAATAGCTTGGATGTACTTCCGGAGTTTAATTACAGAACTGAGAGACTTTAATACCTATTTGTCCATGGCTGAAACCTACTTACTTAAACACTCAGAATTTGCTGTGTGGTTTGTATCCTAACAAATACAGGTTCCACCAGATTCATCTTTCACATGCAGTCCTATCCTCTGTTTAAAATGTTATCGCAATTACTTTTTCCTTATTACATTACTGCGAGGCGAAGAAGTAAATCCCACACCACATCGTGTATAGACTAGCATCCACCATGACACAAAGAAAGGGATATACAATAAAATTAAGGTGGTTTCCTTAAGGCCTGAATATAATCAGCACTAGATCGGAGAGAATACTGAATTGGGGAGTTCTACTCTAAACAAACCCAACAATGGCTAAGATGCTGTTTATGGAGACGCACCACCGACATCTCATTGTTCATATGTAAGTGTTCACAGGCTACCATATGCAATGCTAGATGGCAAAATTTGACACAGCTTTAGTTTCCTGTTATAATCAACTAAAATATTTTCACATTATGCTATCATTATGCTACTACTAGAGTCATGCAATTATTACACAAACACAGGTAAGTCCAGTGGATTCTTCTATCTTACTTTAACGATCTACTTTCCTACATTAGCTGAACAAGAAAAAGCAAAAACATGTCATTTTAGCAAACCATGTTCAACATCAAAACAATCATCCAGCACATCTATTTGTTCAAGTTTTAATATTCAACTGCTTCTCTGCATTGAAACATGCGAAAGTGTGTCTGACCTGGAAGTACTTCTGACATGGGTCACGGGTCGCCAGCAGTGGTGCAGGAACTAGGTTATAACTTGAAATCTGAAAAGAGGGATCATTGGAGAAATTAAAACACTGAATAACAAAGCATAAAAGAAAAAAAAAAGCATTGCATTGACAATTCTTCCAAAAGCTGTCAGAAACGTTAAAGTCAAATTTTTGTTTATTTATAGTTGGTCACAACACATTCGATTGAAATTTGAATTTCTGCTTAACCACATTTCCCACAAACATTTCTTGAGATTTTTTTTTTCCATTCCAGGCTGCAGTTATCTATCTATCTATCTTGCTGTCTGTCTGTCTATTTATCTATGTGTCTCAACTTTCCAGTGCTTTTTCTCATTAAAAACACAAAATTCAGAAGGCAGTAAGGAAAAAACTGGTACATTTCACCACATAAAAATGTAAACATTCTGTCTGGGAATACAAAATGACTATAAACACAGTAAAGACAAAAACACAAACTGAAAAAAAATTAACACTACAATGACATAAAAGGGCTAATTTCATTTATATAGAAAGAGCTCCTTGAAGTTATTAAGAATTTCCTTGAAGTTATTAAGAAAAATAGGAACAAGCCTGTAGGAAAATGAGCAAAGGACAGGACAGGTCCCAAGAGAAATGCAAATGTCTACGAAACATATAAATAACTAACCTCACTCAAAACTAAAGAAAATGCAAATTTAAATAACAATGACTCACTAGGAAAAACAAAGTGGATCTACATGAGCTAATATGAAAAGGGCTTTAAGACATAACTAAGAGGTGAATAACATGTACAGCAGGGCAAAATAGAATTTGAGTAAAATTTTTAAAAGCATATACATGTATACATGCATGTAAGTTCATACACACACATATATCCATACATCTACACAGAAAATTTCTTAAAAGAATAATAAAGAACCAGACACAGTCGTAAACTGCCAGTTCACCAAATTAGATACATAATAAGGAAAACTGAAATCAGACCATGTTTTCAATGAATTGCTATCAGGAACGTCACTTAGAATGATAATCTATTATAATAATTCAAATGTGGATACTGCAGGATTCCACTTATATAAAGTACAAAAACAGGAAAAACTTATCTATGTCAAGACAGTGGTTTACCCTGGAGGGCAGGAAAGGGGGAGCAGCAAGAGGGTAGACTCTGGGATGTTATGATGGCAAATGCACTGTTTCTTGATCTGAATATGGAAATTCATCAGGCTGCACCCTCACGCGCACATTTCTGTCTGTTTATTACAGTTATGTGAGGAGCGTTTTTTAAAAAAGTCAAATGTTGGCAGTTTTCTAAAGCATTATTCAAATTGTATAACTTTATATCTGTGGAGACTAAATTCTATTCTAACCTTTCCAAACTAGTAACCTTTAATGGGCATTACACCCAACTTTACGATTCAGATAATGACCTGACAACTTGGTCTACTGACCCACAATACATTTTTAATTATATTTCCACATATTGTGGGTAAGGCTCATTACTCTGCTATAATTAAAAGGGTGGGTTTATTTTAAATTGTCCTGAAACAGCAAAAGATGCTTCCTCTATGCACCTTGGCTTTTGCCCTGTACCCTTCTCAGCTCCTGAAAAGTATTTCACAATTCAATTTTTTTTTTTAAGTTTTTGTCTTCAGCGTACCTTAAGTTATAAGCAGAGATAGATGTGACGTGATAGCTATTTCGAGACAATGAATATTAATAAACAGAAAGAAAGCTAAGAAGAGGCATACTTTCAGGAGTAAAAAGGCTTAACAAACACCAAGAATCTAAGTTTTCAGTGCATCTAATCTTTAAAAAAAATTCCTTCTCCCCAACACGAAAGAAACTCCAACTTCTATGAAGTTAGGAATTGACATTCTGCTCATCACTTCCTATTTTAAATGGTCCTGTGCTATTATTATCTGACCAATATTTATTCCATACGTACCATGTGTAACGCTAGAACAGGGGATACTTCAGTGAACAAAAACACATTCCCCCTTCTCATGGAACTTGCAGACAGACTAGTCAGGGACATGGACATTAATCACAAAATTACTCTTATCAATGTATACAGGTATATAACCTGGAGGAAAAGAACTCAGTTCTCTGAGAAAATGGAATGAAGCAACATGGGATAGACTGGAGAGTCAGGATACACTTACCTCCTGGAGAAAGAGCAATTTAAATTGCAATTTGAGGACTAAACAGGATTTAGCTAGGTAAACATTTATTAAACACCTACCATGTGCAAGGCACTCCATGGCCCCAGGAGTAAAGCACAAACACACAGAGCTATTTTTCCCTAGGCATTTATTTCCTTGATGAATAAACCTAATCTGGTAAAAAGTTTCTAAGGACTTTGTGGCATGGACTACTTCTGCATAAAAAATAACCTGAAAGTACAAAAGCAGTCAAGTATGGTTTTAAGAATAATCTGTAGCTGAGGCACCTGGGTGCTCAGTCAGTTAAGCGACAGACTCTTCATTTTGCTCAGGTCGTGATCTCAGGGTTGTGATATCAAGCCCCAAGTTGGGCTCTCCACTCCACGGGGAATCTCCTGGAGATTCTCTCTCTCTCTCTCCCTCTCCCTCTGCCCCTCCCTGCCACGCACCCACGCTCGCTCCCTCGCTCTCAAATAAATCAATAAATCTTAAAAATAATAATAATCAGGGTGCCTGGGTGGCTCAGATGGTTAAGCGTCTGCCTTCGGCTCAGGTCATGATCCCAGGGTCCTGGGATCGAGTCCCGCTTCGGGCTCCCTGCTCCTTGGGAGCCTGCTTCTCCCTCTGCTTCTCTCTCTCTCCTTCTGTCTTTCATGAATAAATAAATAAAATCTTAAAAAATAATAATAATAATCATAATCATAATAATCTGTAGCCATGCAGTCCAATATGGTAGCCACTAGGAGCAACTGGAGCTACTAACATGTGCAAGGTGACTAGTGCAACTAAGGAATGGAATTTCTCATTTTATTTCATTGTAACTAATTTAAATCTAAATTTATATAAAAAATAAATCTAAATTTACAAACTGATACTTGACTCTTTAGGGGAACTTCTTCGATAGGCGAATCTATTTTTTCAACTATACATTTTATGAAATCTAAATAGAGATCAAGTATTTCTAATGAAAATTCGGCATCCACATTGAGTGCTAGAAGTGTACACCACACTGATTTTGAAGACTTTGCATGAAAAAGAGTAAAAATCTCTCAGTAATTTTAAAATATTGATTACGTGTTGAAATGATGATATTTTGGATATACTGAGTTAGATGAAAATACTGTTAAAATTAATTTCACCTTATTTTTTTTTTTTTTGGTCATGTGGTTACTAGAAAACTTCAAATTACATCTGTGGCTCATATTACTTTTCTGTTGGAGAAGTGCTGATCTAGGGAATGCAGACAGAGTCTAAAACTTTACCCTCATCAAAATATTATTTACCTTTCCATAAAAGCAAAGACAGACAGAGACGCTCCCTGAGCTGTAAAGCTAGAGAAGGTCTGCCAGCATCAGAACAGGTAACTGTTTCCATGAAATCACACACTGAGTTCAAAGACAGCAGAGACTCGCATAGACCACTACAAGCTCCACGTTAAGAATACAGCTGTGATTTTATTATTTTTTTAAGATTTTACTTATTTTTGAGAGAGAGAATGCAAGTGGCAGGAGGAGCAGAGAGAGAGAATTTAAGGCAGACTCCCCACCGAGCACAGAGCCCAACTGGGGCTCGATCTCATGACCTGAGCCAAAATCAAGAGTCAGATGCTTAACCAACTGAGCCAAAGAGGTGCCCTGAGAATATAGCTGTGGTTTTATTTTTTTATAAAGATTTTATTTATTTATTCATTTGAGAGAGAGAGAGCGCAAGAGCATGCACGAGAGGGAGAGAATCTCGAAGAGACTCTGCACTGAGCACGGAGCCCACGTGGGGCTTGATCTCAGGATCCTGAGATCATGACCTAATAGCTGATTTTAAAACAAAGCATAAAAACTATGTAAGTGAAACAGTCTAGTAACAATAGTTTCCTTCCAGCAGTGTTTTCATGCGTCCCATTAATGAAAATCCATAATGCTTATATGCCTTGTGATAATGCCATTAAAGCTCATTAAATGTCCAAGAGGACCACAGAAGAGTGTGCCCAAGCAGAAATCACATAAGCGCTCCTAAACAAATGAATACGTGAATAAATAAAATAATGCCCACTTGTATTTGGTTCAGTACAAGGTCCTTTGTGCTTTTTTCCCCATTGGATATAAATATGTAAATTCAAAAAAAATTTTTTTAAAGATTTTATTTATTTATTCGACAGAGAGAGACACAGCAAAAGAGGGAACACAAGCAGGGCAAGTGGGAGAGGGAGAAGCAGGCCTCAGGCAGAGCAGGGAGCCTGATGCGGGGCTCGATCCCGGGACCCCAGGACCACAACCTGAGCCGAAGGCAGATGCTCAACGACTGAGCCACCCAGGCACCCCTGTAAATTCAAAATTTTATATATTATCAATTCAATTTTTTCTATTATAATGATCCAAACCTCAATGGCTTTATTTTTGTCAATATGATATGTCCCTGACCAAGAATGCTATATCTCACTATAATCATGCCCTATGTGTACTGATTATTCTTTTTATTTGTGATACTGTTATTTGTAATTTAGAATACTTTTTCCTCTTATTTTTATTGTATGTTTTGCCTTTTTTTCAGTATGTCATTACACACTATACCCATAATGTTTCAAGTAGGAAACAGATAACATAATCAAATTAAATAATTTGAGATGCGTTTAATTAAGGGACTATTTAAAAAAAATTTTTTTTACTTAAAAAAAAAAAAAGGTTGACAGGTAGGAAAACCACAAGGGATAATTCAGACTCCAGAAGTGGCAGGAGCAAGGGGCGAGAAAGCTGTGTGCAGAGAGGGCACTGCCCTACACAGCCACCATCTGCAATGGAGGGTCATAGCCAGCTTTCAGCAACCCTGCACAAAACTGGGATCTTTCCCTGTTCTCACTGCCTGATTTTTTATCCCGAGTAAGCTAAAGTTGTGTGTCAT